CCGGGTCGTGAACACCCTTGGCCTAGTGCACTTGCAACCACGCCGTAGCGTGTAAGGCGGAGGAAGCTTCTCCACAGGTCGTATAAGCATCGCTGGCCAGTTAAGTACCTACAGACCCGGGAGGGGAGGCACGGTTCTCCCTGCCGGTTGGAGGCGGTATTAGGGCACAACGGCATAGCAACCGACCGCTCCACCGGGGGGACCCTTGTAACTCCCAATTCGTCGGTCATCCGACGTGACGTCGAGAGTGACCGACTGAAAGGGAACAAAGTAAAATTTTGTTATTGCATCTTCTTTTAGCGGTCTACCTCAGGTGCACAAGGCAAAAAGAAGCTAAATGTGAGTGAGTTTAATCTACCTAAAAAATGAGGAATCCATAGAACTTAAAAGAATAGTTGACCCAAAACTGAAAATATACTCACCCTCAGGCCATCCAAGATATAGATGAGTTTAAGCTGATAAAAAACATCACAATAATTCAGAAGTAATCCACATGACTCCAGTCCATTAATTAATGTCTTGTGAAGTGAAAAACAGTGAATCAAAAACAGTAAATAATCTAAACGCAGCAATTTTTCATTTTGGGGTGAACTATTCCTTTAAAATAATTACATTTATGAAGTCAACTCGACAATGCTTTGGAAAGAGATACAACCACAATAAAAAGTACTCACACTTGATATTTCTGTCACTCTTGTAGAAAAAGAAGCAAGAAAACAAAGACCCTGAGACTGTGACAGAGATGTACGGAGAAAGAGAGGGGGAAGAACAGGGGGAGAGAGAAGATGAAGTCTATCTTGAGAACAAAGAAAGGATTATTGAAGAGGAAAAGACAACTGAGGCACAGTGGGACATGGAGGAAGAGGATGGTGTGACTGAGACCAAGGAATACAGTTCAGGTGATGGTGACGAGGAGACAGGCAGCGAGGAGATAGAGGAAGAATTTGAGCTAGAGAGGGAGAGAGAGAGACAGGAGATGGAAAAAGAAAGGATGGAACTGGAACAAGAAAGAGAAGCAGAACTGGAAAGGGAGAGAGAGCTCAAGAGAGAGACAGGGATGGAACAAGAAGAAAAGGAGGAGGGAGAGAGACAGTTACAAAGACAAAGAATGGAATGGGAGAGACAAAGAGAGAAGATGGAGAGGGAGAGGAAGGGAGAGACAGACCGAGAAGATGACATGGGGCCCCGTATTTCCCACTGTGATTACCTTAAAGTAAGTATGAGCTTATAGGTTTCCAAATATAACATATCCACAATATATAAATGTTATCTATAATAATTGATTAATTTTGAATACATTCTATAATTCTAAAAAATAAATTAACATATTATATTATATTATATTATATTATATTATATTATATTATCATTCCATTTTTATTTCCATATGATGGTGTCACAGATTTTTAGTCTAGACTTTTGGGCCCCAATGTAATTACTATTTTGTAATTATAATCTATGTTGATTGAACCATAGGAGAACCTTCTTTAATTATGATATACACATATAAAAACCTATTCCATGCTTATTTTCATTTCAATTACATTTTTAATCCCAGATTTTCAGTCCGGTCTTATTATGTATATCTGTAAATAAATTGTGCATTGTATGTGCATTTTTCCTTTCTTGTACAGGGACCTCCAGGTGAAAATGGAAAACCAGGCCCTAAGGTTCGACAATCTTTTTCATTATAAGTCGGAACGATCTGTTCTTACTAATAAAGCATGATAGTCCCATCCTGAGCAATGTTCTCGTCAGCTCTTATTAGTGTCTAAGCTCTGTGTGTTCCCAAACCAAAGTCTGTTAGATAATCATTCCTGCTTTCTGATTGGACTGCAGCTCGCCCACACATACGACATCCCCGCCTCCTCATTTACAATGTTAGGGAATTATTATTGTCAATCAAACCAGGTGGGATTTCAGCAGTGCCCTTCCGCTTGCTTTGATGCCCCAGAGCTTTATTTTTTCTCCTCCGTTCCTGAAATGGATTCAATGTCTTTATTAATATTGTAGTGCTGATGGGGAACTTCCAAACTCTCTTTGTTATTTGCCTTGTAAAAACTGCGTTTGTTAGTGGCTGATCACTTGTGAATTTGCGCAGGGGGAGATTGGTGAAAAAGGCCAGAAGGTACACTCATTTTCAACTTGGTGTCAATAACTGTTTATCCCATATTTCTTTAGCCTCCTTTGATCTGTTTATGTGTTCTTTTTTTTTTTTAGGGAGAACCTGGAACTGGTCACCGTGGGCCCATTGGTCAGGCCGGTCCACCAGGACAAAAGGTGATTGATTAAGCTGTGTACGTTATCAATGCTGTGAATTTAACTTCCCATAAAGTACAATCCAAAAAAGGAGAGGATACCAACATAAACCCAAACACAGTTAATAATAGAGATTGCTTAACTAACTAACATTTGAATGTTATGTACTTAGGGCGAGCCTGGAGAACCAGGACCACCTGGAGCACAGGGCATTCAGGGTATTCGTGGCAACCCTGGAATCTCGGGGTCACCAGGTCACAGAGGTCAGCCTGGTGACCCTGGAGAGCCAGGTAGAAAGGTAATGTCAGCCCATTCTCAATGTTGAGTAGTTACCTTATTGAATGACTTTGTTGATTTAAACACAAAAAATTAACTTGGATGAATTACTTTTTCATTTGTTTGCATGCTTTTAAAGGGTGATAGAGGGAGACGAGGGAAGAATGGCTCACCTGGTACTCCAGGTGCAATTGGTCCTCCTGGACAGCAGGTACCGCTTCTGAATTTTACTCTATATTTTACTACATTTACTCTGGAGGGAAAAGTGAAGAACTAGAATAAACTGAGAACTTGCTGTTCTTTTTACAGGGTCCTTCTGGCCCCTCTGGGGTTAATGGTGAAAAGGTAAGTCATTGCATGTAATGTTTATGCATGTTATGTTTATGATACCAGGTTAGGTTGAAATGCCCCACAACGTAAATGTACACATGCATGAAACGTTTCATCTGCTATCACTAGGGAGACAGTATCCCAGGAGAACCAGGCGACAGAGGAATTCCTGGGCTCCCAGGTCGCAGGGTAATATTATGATAATTGCTCTTTTAGATTGTAGGTATCATTTTTTTTTTTCTGTAATAGCATATTAGTTTGTTTGCTGAAGTTATTAAATTATGAATTCTAAAACCATGGGCCAGATTTACTAAACAGGGCCAATTTGTGTGAGACCGCAATCCCATGAAAGTGCTGATGGTAGATGAAAGATCTGCAAAAGATGTATTGACATTGTGCAAATGAAAGAACACAGACGCAGACAGCTCACTTCCATAATGACCTGCGCAATCTATCAAGACCAAATTAGCAACTATCATAGCCATGTTAAGCACAAAATAAGTTAAGACATGCTTGTTTTTGCGGTGTTAAATAGTAAATAATAAATTGACCACTGCAAACCTTACTAAATCACGTTGCATTATTTACTTAAAATGCTCTCCTCCCATGAAGGTTGCATTTGAAAGGAAACTCCTACAAATGCATATGCAATACGGTCAGCTGCAAAAATTACCATGTATTTTCATCGCTAATTTTTCACTGCATGCCTTTAGTGATTCCTGACAGTAGTTTTTAATACCAAAAGTTTGTACTGGTGCCAGCTGTTAGTAAATTTGGCCCCTAGTGTTCAAACAGTGGCATGTTTTTTTGTTCTCTCTCTGTGTTATTTGCTGCTAATTTTGTGTTAAATGCTTTTAACAACTCTTTCTCAATATTACAAGGGAGTCAAAGGCACTGTCGGTGCCAATGGGCCTCTAGGTCTCATGGTAAGTCACGTGTGATTCCAACTCATGGGCAGACACTATAGCACTTCTCAAATCCCTCAAATGTCACTATAGCATCCCTCAAATATTTTATTTTATTTTATTTAGTTTTGTTTTGTGTTTAATTTGATTACTTTGAATTTCTTTTTTCATTCATTCATTCTATATTTATTTATTTGTCTTGCTGTATTTATTCGTTCTATAGATTGATTTGTTCATTGTTTACGTAACATGGTGCAATAGACAGTGTACTGTATCGATGGTTTAGTGAATAGAAATGTAATCTGGTTACCATCTTGGTAGTAAGAGAAATGTATCCAACAAATTTTGGTATTTTTAGAAAGAAAACATATGATTGCTAAATAGAATATTGATAATATAGCATTTGATACTCAAAACCTGGCAAAACTTGCTGCATTATCCTGCAAGTGATTTTGTAACAATTACTTTATCTCATATTTTATATCATTTCTTATCACATTTTAGATTATTTCTTTCTTAGCTCGGCTTTTTTTTCACATTTTTAAGTTACTTTGAATAAAAGCATCAGCTAAAAGCATAAATGTACATGGATTCAAAAAGCTTTCGTGCATCCATGCAGTGATCAGTATTGAACATGTCACTATAGACTGTATTAAGAAAGTTAGATTTTGTGATTCTGTACAATGTGTTAACATCCCGTGACCTTTCTCTTTAATTAAGGGTCCTAAAGGCATGACAGGTATGAAAGGAGAAAAGGTGAGTGTCTATTTTTAACCCACCTCAGTTTGAAATTCGAAACAAGTTCAGAAGGTAGAAGGGCTTTAAAGTTTAATAGCCAAGCCTACTCTGCCAGGGTTATTTTCTGTAGCTCAAAGACTTATAGGCAGCTTTGACAGCACTGCTGTGCTCACAGAGCCTCTCTTCTCTCTGTATCGACTTGCCAGTGCCTTCTCGTCAAGTCTTTCTCTGCTAAAGAAACTCTGCTGTGAACAGCACTTTCTTTTAACACACACACTTGCACTAACGTCACAATCTGCGTCAGTTGTGAGTGATATTGGTTTTATTTTCTTCAGCATAACTGTATGACAGACTCACATACAGTGAACATTTGTAGTGTCAAAACAATACCACTTACAACCCTAGAAACATTTAACAGCCCGTCTGACATATCAGTTGAGTCTCAATTGTTTAGAATATACCCCAGACAAAATTAATAAAGACAAAACTTTTTGACTGACAGGGTGACAAAGGTGTGACTGGTCACAGAGGAGACAAGGTAAGGACAGCATAAGTGTAGATTGGATACCTGCATCGTTTATTTTAATTCTTTCACCAACTACCATATTGGTTTCCTGGTTTTGTAGGGTAGTCCTCTCTCCATGCCAGGACCCAGAGGATATAAGGGTCTGAAAGGAGAGCCAGTGAGATATTTTTGTATTTTAATTTGTCATTTCACTATAATGTTTCCCACAAAGGCCATACTTGACTATGCGAACTCAACAATACGTGTTAGTTGTTTGACTTTTTAGTTGTTTTTTAGTATAAATGACAGATACAGACCAAGGTATGTCTGAATTTTACATGGCAGGGTGAACGTGGGCTTCCAGGATTTGATGGAGATAAAGGAGAGAAGGGTGAAGATGGTCCACCTGGTGCAAAGGTATTTTCTAAACTGTTTTTCCATACCTGTAGAGATTCATGTACTTGGACCATAAAAAGTGAATTTCTAACACTTGTTTCATGTAATTTCAGGGGCTGAAGGGAGAAGCTGGTACTAAAGGAGGCATGGGGCCTTTTGGTGCACGTGGTCCAGTAGGACAAAAGGTCAAAATTAGCTCTACTATGAAGTTTATGCACTATATTGCTTGAAACGGCATTTTTTTTAAGTATGGATTTTATTGTTTTATATGGAATGTTATATCACGGTAAATGTTTTTACTGTGGAAAATGCATTTTGGGAGTGAAGGTATAATTATTTTCTTAGGGAGATCCAGGGGAGCCAGGCGCCAATGGGGAAAAGGTAGCCTATTTCCTGTTTGTTGTGATAGTTTCAAAACAAATGTTTGAGATTTTGATACTTTTAGACATTTTGCTGCTGTAACTTTTGTTAAATATTACTGATTGGCTGAGATTTGTCACAGGGTCGTAATGGAGAACATGGACTGGATGGTGAGAAAGGTGATAAGGGAGACATGGGCCTGCAGGGCCGAAAGGGAGATCAGGTGAGAATATGAATCATCTGAATGAAATATTAATTAATAAGAAATTTCTCTGAGCAACAGGGGTACCTGAGAGGGAGAACACTGTTCCCTTAACCTTTCTTACTAACTACATTATTTAGATGAATGATTAAATAATTAAGTAGGCTTTCCTGTGAGTTGTTTTATTTATTTATTTATTTATTTTATTTTTTTGAGTAACACACTATTCATGGACCTTGACTCATTGGTTTGTGTTCAGGGTGAGACAGGAGAGCCTGGTTTACCTGGAGATGCAGGAATTAAAGGCGAGAAGGTATGAAATGTCAATCTTGTCTTTAGTTTTTGTGTTCTCACCTGTCTGTAACCATTGTTTCACAACACTTATTTTTCTGTAGGGCTTCAGAGGTTTCCCTGGTCGAATAGGGAGTCCAGGACTGGATGGAGAACAGGTATTTTTGATCCAATTTCATCTTAAATTGAAAATTGGATTAAATAAACCACTAAAAACATTTCCTTTGACTGTAAAACACAAGGGTGATTCTGGGGACCCTGGCAGGCCAGGCATTCCAGGACTAAATGGTCTCCCGGGACGAAAGGTGAGTCACTTACACACACAGATATTGATAACCTCATCATCATTGTAAGTTTAAGTATGAGATGAATTGTTATTGTTAATGTTTAGGGAGAAAAAGGTGATAGTGGTCTGAATGGTCTTGATGGAGCTCCTGGACAAAAAGGAGAGAAGGTACAAAATTATAGGACCAGTGTTATTTCAAAATCTTTTAATAAAAGGAATAGTTCACCCAAAAATTCAGTCATCATTTACTTATCTTCATATCCTTCTAAACCAGTTTAACTGGAATACAAACAAAGAGGGTTTTTTTTTTAATTCACTCTATTTCTTCCATACAATACAACAGAAGCACATTGCAGTCAGAAGCTCCAAACAAACTAAAACCATAAAAGTATCATAAACGTAGACCATATAACTAAAATCATATATTCAAAGTCTAATGATGTCTTATGATATTTGTGTGAGGACAAGACCCAAATGTATGTTGTTACAAATGACTTGCATTCAGATATAGATATTAAATTGCATTTCATGCAGGGTTATTACCATTAACTAAAACTATTGAAAAGATTTTTGTTAATTTAAATTAACAAAAATTAAACTGAATTGAATTGAAACTACCAACTGGAAATAAAAACAAAACTTGCATAAAATGAGAACTGAAAAAACAAAAATAAAAAATTCAAAATATTAGTACTATAAATAAATAATACAAAAAAAAAACATGTCATCATGTCACAATAGACATTAGAAAACCATACTTGCATCATCGTGTCAAATTTGAATATATGTAGATGAGGGCATGATCGCAGAATTTTCATTTTTGGATGAACTGTTGTTCTAAATAATCTTTCCCTGTCAAGTATATTCATTTCAAAATCATTTATTTAACCCATTCTTCTGCAGGGTGCGACTGGTTTCCGAGGTTTCACTGGGTTTAAGGGATCTCCTGGTGCACCAGGAACTAATGGGGCTCTGGGTCGGCCTGGTCCGGTTGGACCTAAAGGTGAAGTGGGACCAAAGGTATGACCAACCTGCCTACACTTAGACAATAATATCTACATGATAATAGAGCTGAATTTATTATTCCTCTGTGTGATTCATCAGACCTCACAGATAGATGGATAAATAGTCAAGCCAGTGTAATTAGGGCCATCTTCATATCTCACTCAATCCCATGTGGAGGAACCGTGGAGGAGGACAAGGCCCTAATTAACCAAGAAAGACAGGATGAGAGAGAGATAAAGAGACGGGGGGTAGGAGCTATTTCTGCTGGGATGAAGATTTGAGCTATCAAACTAAACACTGCGCTAAGGCCGCCTTTAGCCACAGTTAGGCATCTCTTGATGTTGATAGGAATGGAGAGGGTTCAGCAAGCTGCACTCACAGAGTCTCTTTAGTAAAGGTGAGCTGTACTTCAGCACAGAATCAGCAGACAATCCTAAAACATGAGGCATTTTCTGTGAGTAAAGTTTATGAATTAAACATTATTGTAAAGTATCACTCTGGTGCTTTTCTGTACTAAAACAGCCAATATATTTTTAAACTTATATTTATTTCAGTTGAAAATAAAGTAAACCATTGGTTTGGTTATGTGTAGCCTCAAGCTCAAAGCTGATTGGTCCAGGGTTAGTGATTGTTTCGTGGTGATGTGCAGCTTCTATGCATTATTACCTGTCCAGCATTGTTTGATTTGATTGTTTTATCTATCCCAGGGAGAGAAGGGAAGGAGAGGCAGAGGAAAGGCCTGTCAACGGGGACCCCCTGGAATTCCTGGCCTCAGAGGCCTGGATGTAATAAGGCATCTACACACAAATAACTGTATCCTCCACTCAGTCAGGACTTAATCTATTCACAAACATGCTCAGTCTAAAGTTATACATATCCTCTATGCAGGGGGAAGTGGGAACCTCAGGCATGAAAGGAGAAAAAGGGGAGACTGGACTCAGTGTATGATGACAATGCTCTATTTCTATCATGTATATATCCTTATGGATTACCGATAGGATTTCTATGTGATTAAATACTTCAATTTTCCCATTTGTTCAGGTGGAGGAAGTGAAGGATCTTGTGACAAAGGAGGTGGTTGAGAAGTGTGGTGAGTTTGTGTGTATGCAAGTTGCAAAGAGCAAATATTAAACACACAATGGACCTTAGTAGGGACTTCATATTGAATTTACCGCAAATAAAAACAAAACAAAACTGAGAGGATATAGACACACTGCAAAAAAAGAATAAAGTTAATGCTTTTATATACACACACACACACACACACACACACACACACACACACAAACACACACACACACACACAGAAATACAGT